AGCACAAGCTCGTAGAGGCGCTCATGACATCACAGACCACAGACCGCCCGTGTGCTCAATCACGTCCGCATTCCTAAGGCAGTGTGGAATGAACGCGGCCAGGCTGGGGCGGGCAGGTGGAGCGGGTGCTAGTGTGGAAGTGGCACGTGACGGTTTCAGTACTTTACAGACACTGTAAATTCTAACCTTACTTTTAAAATCATGCAAACTGATAAGTACACATTAACAGGCGATTATGTGTTGGAGCTACTAATACGAACCAGTAGTAAACAGTAAACACATTTATATGCACATCGTACTGGCTTGTCTTCATTGTAGTAACTTGTATTTAAATGCTATTTACTTTGTATGACTTAGAGGCTCCAGCACACTCCTGTTTACATGAATGTAACTGAGATTACATTCATGTTTCTAAAACACCAATTTTCCTCATTTGCTGATGCTTTCCTTCTAAAATAAATTTGACTTATTTTATTTTATGAAACACATGAAACCACGTCAAAAATACATAAAATACAAAAAGAAAAAGAGAAATTAAAGACTGATTTTGTAATACTTTGAGAGATGCTTGTTGAAATGCACCAACGATTACATTGTTAGCGCCTTCGTGAGGAAAAAAGTTTTCAGCTCATGTAAAAATGTGAGTCTGACACGTGTTTCTAAAGCTCATAAATGTGGGATTCGCTTTTATAAAAACCCATCTTCTGCTGGAAAAAATACTAATTTTACACAAACAGAGTCACGAAGCTGACAAATAAAAATATATGCAGCTCTTTGAGGCGTGCGACTATGGAAATAATTAAAGGGCTTCAGAATCCAAGAACAATGGGTGACGTTTCTAAAAAAAATAGATGTTAGAAATAAGTTTGAGAGGGAAAAAACATGTTGGAGCAAAACAAAAGACAAAGACAGATACATAGCATCGGTAAAATAAACATATTTTTTTTTACTTTGTTCCATATTTTCAGCATCTTCTTCTTTGTTTCTTCCACTTTTGTAGTCCAGCCGGCATCCCCTGGATAAACGTAGTGTACTTAGTATACTCTCCTGTTCCACACGTATACTTAAAGTCTACTACATTTCCCCACGGTGCTGCAGCTCCAACAGGCAAACAGCAGCAAACATGCCACTAATTACCCCATTACAGAGCCTGCTTTCCTCCAGCATGTTCCCAATAAACACATCCACTTATTTATATAACAAATGAGAACAGATTGTGGCGCTTCTTAACTTGAAATTTTTAATGCATAAGCCAATTAATTTCTGATTCCCCGAGGAAAGACAGCAGTTCTCATAATTAGCTCTTGGTGTTACGGCTTCTGAAGTGTCGAATCCAAAATGTGTGGAGCTAAAGGAGAAGGGTGGAAAAGTATACGTCTGAAGAATGAGGAGCTGGTTTCAAACGGAGAATTACAGGAGCGGTCATGGGAGGACCAATGAGGGATTACAAGCACATTATGGGATTAAAACTGAACCACCTGCAGATACAGGTTAATATGAAGGAATGGTCCTTGGATGGAGTTTTTACTTTATTAAATATATGCAGCTCCCTTAAAGCTTCCTCGATGACAGATTATTGAAATGGTGACTGAAAATTATGTAAACTTTCTCCCAAAAGATGGTTTGTTGACAACAATGTTGCGTTAAAGTCGCAGATTATCTTATCAGAGATCACTAAACACTTCAGGAGCGACCGTGTTCACTCAGAGAGAAATCCGATAATTAATCATCCAAACTAGAGAAAAATCAAGTCATTAATGAGCCAGCCAGGTGAGGGTGAGGCTGATTTAACATCGCTAAAACTAAAATGGGTTTGATTTATTTCAGCTAGTTGTTCCCAGACTTTTCAGCTTATGACCCACAAAAATAACAGTAGCAGGACCTGTGAGGACTGTTGCTGGATTAAAAATACAGAAATTACTACTAATTTATTCTCAAATTTCTGATAACAAACATGAATTATTACTTAATTTCTTTCGCCAGTATGGATTTAAGTTAAGATGCTTTTTTTTCATTCTTTGAAAGTTTTGTTTTTATTGTTTCAACTTTTACATATTTAGATCCAGCCATCCATTTTCATCCGCTTATCCAGAGTTGGGTCGCGGGGGCAGTAGCCTAAGGCGAGAGGCCCAGACTTCCCTCTCCCCAGCCACTTGGGCCAGCTCCTCGGGGGAAATCCCAAGGCGTTCCCTGGCCAGGTGAGAGACATAGTCCCTCCACCATGTCCTGGGTCCACCTTTAGGTCTCCTCCCGGTTGGACGTGCCCAGAAAACCTCACCAGGGAGGCGTCCAGGAGGCATCCTGACCAGATGCCCCAACCACCTCAACTGGCTCCTCTCGATGAGGAGGAGCAGTGGGTCTACTCCGAGCCCCTCCCGGATGACAGAGCTTCTCAGCCTATCTCTAAGGGAGAGCCCAGCCATCCTGAAGAGAAAACTAATTTCGATTGCTTGTATCCGTGAACTCGTTCTTTGATCACTACCCAAAGCTCATGACCATAGGTGAGTGTAGGAACGTAGATCAACCGGTAAATCGAGAGCTTCACCTTCTGACTCAGCTCTCTCTTCACCACAACAGACCGGTACAACGCCCGCATCACTGCAGATGCAGCACCAATCCACCTATCGATCTCACGCTCCAGTTTTCCCTCACTCGTGAACAAGACCCCGAGATACTTAAACTCCTCCACTTGGGGCAGGACCTCATCCCTGACCCAGAGAAGGCATTCTACCCTTTTCTGAATCAAGACCATGGTCTCAGATTTAGAGGAGCTGATTCTCATCCCAGCTGTTTCACACTCGACCGTGAACCGCTCCAGCGAAAGCTGAAGATCACGAAAGCTGAATATCACGTTCTGATGAAGCCAACAGGACCACATCATCTGCAAAAAGCAGAGACCTGATCCTCAGGCCACCAAAATGGATGCCCTCCACACCTTGGCTGCACCTAGAAATCCTGTCCATAAAGGTTATGAACAGAATCGGTGACAAAGGGCAGCCTTGGCGGAGTCCAACTCTCACTGGGAACGAGCCCGACTTACTGCCGGCAATGCGGACCAAGCTCTGACACTGGTCATACAGGGACCTAACAGCTCGTATCAGAGGGCCTGGTACCCCATGCTTCCGGAGTACCCGGAGTCAAACGCCTTCTCCAAATCCACAAAACACATGTAGACTGGTTGGGCAAATTCCCACGCA